TYACAGCACATACCTGCAATCAYATCAACGAACCAAATCAACAGCCCACACACTACACGGAGTCAACCCCAACCACCTTCGACACTCATACCCCTCGCTTTAGCCATGCAAGCCCCAAAACCTCMTGTCCAACCAACCTTAATTAAATACTCAGTACCTTTGTTAAATGGTCATTCAATAAAAGCCCGGGTGAGACCATAATGAAACAATAAAATTCACCTGGGCTAAAGCCTTCCAGGTTGAGTGTGAAGGGTGAGTTGAAATTGAGTCGTAAACCGACGAATCGACAACCGACCTGTTATCAGTGATAACAGAAAGTGATCCTCAAGGGATCAAGCTGGATCTAGCCCTGAACTTGGATCAAATGATAAAAAAAAACCTGTAACACATGGTAGACCAATCCCCAAGCTAAGATCATACGTGTATGAAGAATATAACTCCATAATACATCCTCACTCAAAATCTCCCTATAAACTAAACCGAAGCCTAGCTCTAAGCCAGTGCTTAAGCCAAAGGTAGACCATTTGCAGAATCTCCCCTACTATGGCGGATCACCTGAATCGCCACACGTCAAAATATAGTCTATCTCATCTAAACTTAAGAAAATTTTGGCAGCGCTTCCCGTAGGAAAAGTGTCTTTCCAGAATTTACATAAGCTCAAATATGAACGCAAAAATAATCTCTAACTCTGGAAAGTCAAATTCTGTCTAACTCTCTAAATTAGTAGAAATTTGGGCAACACCCCCTTTAGAAAGGGAGACTTCCCAGATTTATACTAAGTCATGTATAAAAGCAGAAATAATTTGGAACTCTGGAGAGTCAAATTTTGTCTAAGTCCTTAAAATAGTAGAAATTTGGGCAGCACTCCCTTTAGAAAGAGAGACTTCCCAGATTTATACTAAGTCAAATATGAACTCGAACAACAGCTCGAACTCTACTTTAGACTGAATTTAACTAACTCCTTAATTTTGTAGAAATTTTGGCAGCACTTCCTTTAGAAAAGTGCTATTCCAAAATTTATACAAGGCTAAGTTCAGATTTTGAAAGTACCTTTGGTTTCCCAAAGTTCAATTTTGTCTAACTCCCTAAATTAGCAAAAATTTGGGCAGCACTCCCTTTAGAAAATGAGACTTCCCAGATTTGAACTAAGTCAGATATGAGAAAGACAAAGCTGAACTTTTGACAAGTCAAAGTTCAACTAACTCCTTGGATTTGTAGAAATTTCGGCAGCGCTTCCCGTAGAGAAAGTAACTTGCCAAAATTTATACAAAGCTAAGTATTAGAAAAGATCTTAGAAAATGCAAAAATTGACCAAAGTAAAAAATCGTTATTACAGATAATGCAGGAATTGACACTAACTCCTATGGCTCTAGCATGTGGCGAGCAACTAAAGCGACTACCTATAATACTGAAATCCAAACAGACTAACCATCTCATTAAGTCACATGCAAACCAACCACGAATGTAAGTACTCTCACCATCCCAAGTTCATTCCTTATAAATAGTTCATGAATCTTAAAGTCCTTGAATCCTTATACCCATCTTACATAAGACATAGAGCTGGACCATTCGCCATGGAAACAATGCCCAACTTGTCTTTATGGTATACACGAATAGGTTGCACAACTACTTCTTTCTTCTTTTGGGCAGATGACTAGGTCATTCACCATGGAAACAATGTCTGGCCGCCCCGAGCTTTTTAATATCCAAAGATTTAGTATTTCTCTGACCTTGTTAAAAAGGAAAAGACAAATATGGGTAGGGGACTGAACCGTTCACAGAAGAAACAATGTTCAGCTTGCCCAAACTATTTTCATTTATACTTTGTATTTTTCTTTTTCTCTTCTTAATGATATGGCTTAACGCTGAACCATTCACAGTAGAAACATTGTCCAACTGCCAGTTTACATGCAAATATACATAAATTATTTTCCTTTATACTCCGTTTGATTTATGTGCGTGGTTTTCAGGCTAAACCATTCACCATGGAAACAATGCTTAGCCTTAGACAAAAAATCCTCCCTCAGAATAAACAAGAATTTAAACCCCTTCAATCAGGCAAACCCTCAGAGTTAACTAGAGTAAACAGAATATTCACTGTAGAAACAATACCTGGTTGTCCAGAAAACAACTAAATAAACATAGCAACCAGGCCATTCACAGTAGAAACAATGCCTGGTCCTTCAGAAAACAACTAAATAAACATAGCCCTGAGCCATTCACAGTAGAAACAATGCTCAGTCGTTGGTTGACCCTGTCAAACGCACGCAAAACTGCCTTCCTCCCACCTTCCCCCAGTTCATCCTTAGTCTGCTTCCAGTCAAAACAAAAGATGAAACTTAAGCTTCACTCTCATATATTCTTTCCATTCAATCTGATTAGGTTCTGAAGAGAAAGCAAAAAAAACACAGGGACAACACATGCATACCGCAATCATACCACAGGGAGATAGACAAACATAGACAGTAGTAGGTTGTACAGATGGAGAAGGTATACCTGATGATTTCCTGCCTCCAGAACCTCGCCTAGGTTCCGACAGGGCTCCCGCAATCGATGGGTGGACTCCCCAAAGAGTCTTGACGTGGTCCTACGGGTTGCAATCCCGCCTGCCGCCTTCCTCTTAGAACCAGGACTAGACTGAGAGTTAGAACGAATAAAAATAGAAGGTAGAGACTCTCAGATCCAAGAATGGTGCTCTCAGTCTCGCAAGTGAGGGCCTTGTAATCTTGGAGCGCCTGAGGGCCCCCCAATGACGGCCAACAAGTAACAGCTTGATCGAATTCCAAAGCCAAGGTTGCCAAGATCCACTCCCGGCGACCTCCCAGTTGGTAGCAAACGCTCCCCTCACCACCGTTTTACCATATTGTAGCAACACCCTCCCTTTAGCTCAACTTCTTCTTTTTTAATCTTCCCACATCTCCCCCTAATCCAATCGTCATACGACAACCCGTAACAGTCCGCAGCAGTCAACTGCTGCGGTAATCTGCGCTGTGATACAGCAGGCAACAACAACAGCGGACCTCACCCAACCACCCATATAGCGGCCACTCGCAGCGGCAGTCTGCAACAACACCCGTTGTTGTAATCTGTGCCAGATGCCGCAGTCCGTTGCAGTYYGTAAACGCASYGACGACCCACRGTGAGCAATAGTGCACAACTAGCATCGCCYAAACAGYTACAGTCTGTGCCYAATCTGCAATAAYGGCAGCTGTAGTAGCAACACMCATCAACCARCAAAGGTTCGCTCAYAGTCAGYAAGCCGCCGRCAGCTGCCCATGCATCATCAGGAGATTCAACTCTTTTTGTCAAGGTTCAATCATTCTAACAGGCTGCGAGTACTCGTGCCTAGGGCAGTGGCTCAACAGCGTTCGCCTGCACGCAGCCTTTCCTTCTCGCAACGACGGACTCCGATTCCAACTGCAACTCTGCCCTCCAAACCGTAGTAACCGCAACTTTCAGCAACAGCCGAGGTCGGCC